CCGAAAATTTTTTTTATTTTTTTCGGAAACCTTTGAAAAAGGAAAAAAGGAAAAAAGGAAATTTCCTTTGGCAACAAAGGATGAATACTACACTCTTGTCGTATATTAAGTTTCGAGGACTTAATTTAATAATAATAAACAGAAAAAAAAATTGTAAAGACAAACGAACTATTATGCAAAATAATAACAATAAAAACCCCGCCCCCTTCTCTTCTCATCCCTCCTTCCCCTTCGGTGCCCCCCAATCCCTATCACGGAACCATTAGAACCCCCCTTTCCGAAATGTTCAACTTTTGTAAAACTCCATCTTTTAATAAAAAAAAAATGAAAACTTTTCTTTTTTTTTTTTTTTATATGCGTAAATCCATTTTCCTGATTTTAAACAAAGTTTACCCGAAAGTTCGTTTTTTTTTTTTTTCTTTCTGTTGCTCCCCAGATAAATTTAACTTTATTTTTACGATCGAAAGGAAGCGAAAGTGAAGGAATAGGGGAAGGGAGGGGAAGGTCAAACAAACTAATGGAAAGAGAAAACAAAATGAAAATCATTTTAAAATAATAATAATAATAATATTAATTACGAAAGCATCCACGTAAAAAAAAAAAAAAAAAAAATTTAAATAAATAAATAAATAAATCGCTGACCTTTTTGAAATATTATTATTATTATTATTATAAACATATAAATTCAAAGTGTAAATAATGATGATGATAATAAAAACAAAACAAAAAAAAACCGGATAAGGAAATCGATATAAAATTACAAGAGGGAGAAAGAGAGAGAGAGAGAGAGAGCGAAAAGGTCAAAATCATACGAAAAAAAAAAAATATAAAAAAAGTTAAAATAATAATAATAATACGGATTTTTCGTTTTGAAAAAAAAAAAAAAAAAAAAAACGTTGGGAAGTTTCTAGAAAACGGAAACGGGTTAGGGGAGAAATATTTGCGAGGGGATAGAGGGAGGAAAAGAGGAAATGCTCGTTGAAAAATTTTTCTTTAAATAGAAACAAATTAACCTTTAAATTATTATTATTATTATTATTATTGTCGTGATCATTTCCACCACCACCATCATCTTCATGATCATTCATTCATTCATTCATTCATTTATTTATTTATTTATTTATTAATAATCTGCGAGATGATAATTAATTAATTTAAAAAAGTTAATAAACCTGAAACCGGAAAATTTGCGTGCGAAAAAGAGAAAAAAAAAAAAAACGTGGAAACAAACAAACTCACTCACTCACTCACAACAACAACAACAACAAACTTAAACGTAATACAAAGTCGTCGATAAATTAATAAATAAAATAAAGTGGCGGCGGTTCGAGTTGTTGTTGTTGTTTGTTGTTTGTCGTTGTTCTTTTAAATCCATTAAAAAAAAAAAAACCTCTCCCAAAAATAGAATTAAAAAGAGAGAGAGAGAGAGAGAGAGAGAGAGAGAGAGAGAAACGCTCGAGGGTAGAAAGAAGATATTCCAGACAAAAATCTATAAAATTATAATTAAAGATTAAAAAAACTTGTTAATTTTTCATTTTTTTTTTTTACAGTTTGTTTCGATTCGAACACCACTCCCCAATTATTATTATTATTATTATTATTATTATTATTATTATTATTATCATCATCATTATTATTTTACACCGGCGGAATATTAAAATTTAAATAAAAAAAACTCTTATTATTATTATTATTTTTTTTTTTCTTCTTTTAATATTAATTTGCATTTTTTTCTTTTTTAAATCTTAAACGTTTTATTATTATTATTATTATTATTTAAGGTATTTATTTTTAATAAATCGATGAAAAATAAATAAATAATAATTTACTCGAGGGGGAAAGAGGGAGAGGGGGGAGGAGAACGAGAGAGAGAGAGAGAGAAAAACAAACAAAAACAATCGACAAACTGACATTTAGCTGACGTTGTGTGAGATCGATTTTTTTTTTTTTTTTTTTCTATATCCGGGATTTCTTTCAATCGCGATGACGTCATCAATCAAATACCGCAATTAAATAATTTATTATTATTATTATTACTATTTTTTACATCTTAATCGAAATTTCTAGTAATTATTATTATTATTATTATTATTTTAAAAAAAAGGCGGAAATGGTTGTAAAAAAAAGAAAGAGAAGAAGAAGAAGCAGAAGACGAATCGTAACGTATTAATTAATAAATAATTTAAAAAATTAACGCTTAAAAGGAAATGACTTTAAATTTACTTTTCAAAATGGACGCCATCGATGATGATAATGATAATAAATCGATCAATTAATAACGATAAATACCAATAAAAATAAAAACGCGAAAAAGAGTGGGAAAAAAAAAATTATTATTGAATAAGTTCAAAAAAACAATAATCGACTTAAAAAACATAATAATAATAATAATAACAGGTAATTTATCTTCTGCTAAATAATAAAAAAAAAAAAAAAAAACAACAACAATCGCCAACAAATTATTATTAAAAAAAAAAAAAAAATGTAGTTTGAAAAGAATAAGGAGGAGTAAAATAATTGAATGAATTTTTTTTTTTTCAAAAACTTGTTCGCGTATACTCGCGCCTAAAAAAACAAAAATGGCGGACCGTCAAAATTTTTTAAAAACGGTTAAAATTGACCGCGACATTGATGATCGTTTTTTTTTTTTTTTATCTCCTTAAAAAAATAAAAATAAATTTAAATTGATTATATGAAATCGATTAACGAACGAGGTGTCAAATGTTTAAAAAAAAAAAATGTCTACCAATTTTAAAACATTTGGGATAAATTTAAAGATTATGATGGATGACGATCGATGACGATGCGTTTGAATTGGATTGATTTCTGAACGTACTTATGTTGACGTCATCGCACACCTGCACGAATGAGGGGAGAGAGAAAGAGATGATGATACCAAAGTTAAATAGTAAAAACGAACGTCATCGTTAAAATTTTTTTTTTTTTTCTCTTTTCGATAATAATCGGAGTGGATAATGGGGAAAGAGAGAGAGAGAAAGATAGATAAATAGATAAAAAGAGAGAGAGAGATAAAATAAAAACATAAAAACGTTTTTAAGGGTGTCTCTTCTTCTTCCTATTTTACCACTTATAATTGACTCGACGTGAAAAAAAAAAAAAAAAAACGTTTTTAAAATAAAAATCTCCGGGGTTGTCGGCTATTAAAAAAAAAATAAAAATAAATAAATAAAACCAATTAATATTAGGCTACCAACTTTTAAAAACTAAATTTATTAAATGGCGGCGAGAAATAAAATGGAAACCTTTTTACAGACAGACACGAGTTTTAAATTTCAACGGGGGAAAAAAAAAAAACAAAAATTTCGTTTCCTTTCGATTGATTCGTTTTTTTAAAAAAATTAATTAATGTCACGAAGTGAGAAAAAAAAAATGGCATGGATTTATATTAAATAAGGGAGAGAGAGAGAGAGAGAGAGAGAGATAAAAAAAAATCTGCTGCCACTTAAATTTTTTTTTTTTTTTTTTTTTTTGTTAAAAACCTTCCCGCCGATTCGAAACAAAACGTCGGATATTCAATATAAGAAATATAAAAAAAATCTCTCTCTCTCTCTCTCTCTTTCTCTCTCTCACAACTCGTATTACCTCTACCATTTACCCCGTGAGAAAATATAATTAAATTTGACGTGGAATTGGAAATAAAATCTGAAACCACTTTTTTTTTAAACTAAAAACTAAAATAACTAAAATAACATTCCTGCATATTTATATTTATTTTTTTTCTCTTATAAATTAATAAAAAAAAAAAAAAAAGTGTAGCCATTAACGTTTTCCTCTTTTTTCTCTTTTCGGTTATAATTTTTTTAATTTAATTTTTTAAAAAAAAATAAAGTGGCAGAAGAAGAATAAGAATAAGAATAGGGTTATCGTGTCAGTGAGAGATACCGTTTTTAAATAAATTCGAATAAATTTTTTTTTTTATAATATGCAAACAATGGTAACTTTAAATCTATTTAAAATTATTAAAAAAAGAGAGAGAGAGTGAGAGGTAGTGAGAGTGAGAGAGAGAGAGAGAGAGAGAGAACGGATGTTAAAAAAAGAAAAAATTTATTTTAATTTATTTAAATGATGTAACCGAACATTTTTTAAATCGATTCATATCTTTTTTTTTTTTCCCAATGTAAATCACCGTAATAAATTAACACGTGAATAATATCATCATCATCATCATCATTATTATTATTTTCAAATGTCGATCGTAACGGCGGAATAATTTAATTTAATGATAAAACCGAAACGACAGAAACAAACGTACGCGATTAGCGGAAACAACAACAACAACAAAAATATTATTATAAATAAAATTATTATTAAAACAAAGATGGCGGCTACAGTGCGCGTGCGCGCGTTCGCGTCATCGATGACGAAACGTGGGGGAATAACGACGACGACGCACGTGGAATTAGATTATTGTCACGTGTTATAAGAAATTAAGTAATTAAAATATATATATTTTTATTATTATTATAAAAAAGAAATATTTTTACCGAAATTATTCGAAATAAAATAAAAAAAAATTTTTTTTTTTTTTAATGGAGATAAACGTGGGTAATTTAAACAACGACTAATGTAAGATAAATCGTAAATTAATATAATAAAAACGAAAAAGTTTTTTTTTTTTTTTTTTTAAGGGGGTCACAAACATCAATTTAATTTCAGGATTTATAAGGTTCAAAAAAAAAAAAAAATTTATGAGCTTTTAGTGAGTGAGTAAGTAAGTATGCGTAGCCCGAGGGTCGAAAAATTTCTTATCGTTGTAATCCATTAACTTCCAGCTGTTTTTGGTCGTGGCAGCATTCGAAAATAATAATAATAATAATAATGATAATAATTTTTATTTTATTCCGTCTCTGGTAATTGTCGTTCGTCCGTTCGTATGTTTGTTTACAAATAAAAAGATTCGAATGAATTCGCGCGCGCGCACTCTCGCGAATAAAAATTTCGTTAACGTAAGGCGGCGGTGAATGAGTTACGTTATGACGTCATTTCGAAAGAAAAATATGGAAAAACAAACTCACCTGAGTTTCCGTTACTTGAAGTAATTTAGCCATTTCCGTTCTTTCCGACGACGATAAATATTTTTTATTTTCAAATTGTTTTTCTAATTCGAATATTTGACGTCCGGTAAATGTCGTCCGAGCTTTTTTCTTTTTCTTTTCACAATCCGTATTATCGGAACTATGTCCACCATCACTCATCGTTCCCCCGCCACCCAAATCCTGAGGGCTCAACAAACTCAAACTGTTGGACGTTTGATTTATTAAATGACCATGGTGTTTTTCCATTGATTCCTTTTTCCTTTTAACAGGTTTCATCATGTTCATCCCATCTGAAAATCCCAAAACAAAAAAAACCGTTAAAAAATATTCATCATCATCATCATCATCATTCAATCCATCACAATGAATTAATAATAATAATAATAATAATAATTTACAAAAATAATTTATTTTTTCTTCCTTCAAATTATTATTATCATTATTATTGTCCCATTATTTGTTTTTTTAACGACTTTTGGCATCGAACGAAAATTTTTATTTTACTCTGCGCCATTTTGAATTATTTTGTCGTTATTTCGTCTTATTCATATAATAATAATAATAATAATAATAATGAGAATGATTTAAAATCGAGTTCTAAATTAAAAAAAAAAAAAACACGTGGGAAATTGAACACAAAGAGAGAGAGAGAGAGAGAGAGAAAATAATAAAAAATTATTTTCTTTCTTTTTTTTTTTTTTTTTTTTGTTAAAATTTAAGCCGGATGATAAAAATAAAAATTCTGGAAAAAAATAAATAATAAAAATGGATTCCGTTGAATTTGATAAATAAAAGAAAAAAAGAAAATTTACCTGAAAGTCAATAAAAAAAAAAAATTCCCCCCCCCCTCTCTCTCTCTCTGTCTCCATTTTTAAAGAATTGAGAATGAATTAAAAAAAAAAAAATACAATGAAAATTTTTTTTTTATTTTTATTCCGGAGACGAAGAAAAGCTTTCGAAATCGATGAAGAGAGAGGGGGGAAGGGGGGAAGGAAAAGGAAAACAGTAAAATTCTAATGACACTTTTTTTAAAAAAAAAAAAAATATTTTGACGTGTATAATATAATGAATGAAAATATTTATTTAACGGGAAATTTTATTTAAAATTGAATAATAATTTTTTTCATTCTTTGTGAAAAGAGAGAGAGAGTGAAAGAAAGGGAAGAGAGGGAAAGGAAGAGGAAGGAAAGAGAGAGAGTAAGAGAGAGGAAAATATTTTTCGAGACGGTTTTTTTTTTTTGTGGAAAAAGAAAAAAAAAGACACGTTATACGTAATTTAAAATCTATTTTGGCCGACGTATTTCTTTTGGTTGTTATTGTTTTTTTTGTTTTTGTTGATTTTGTTCGTTGTTGTCGAAACAAAACAAACAACAAACAACAAAAAAAAACAACAGAACGTGGCAACACATGTCGATTTCATTGATGATGACGAAAAAACAAAAAAAAAGAGTAATTTTATCGTTTCCAAAAGGTTTTTTAAAAGCTTTGACAAACGTACAAACAAACAAACAAACAAACGTTTGCTCGGAAAGAATGTCAGAGATTCAAATTACATAAAAGAAAAAATAAAAAAATATGAAACAAAATCTAATCAGGTGATTCTCTTAAAAAATAAAAACAATAATAATAATATTCTGGCTAATAATCAAATGAAAAATTTTTTTTCATCTAGTGACACGTTTTTTTTCTTTCATTTATCTCTCTCTAACTCACTCTCTCTTTCTCTTTTTCCAGTCTGGTATAAAAAATTACTTTTTTTTTTTTGTCAAAGAATTCTTCCGATTCTCTTTTGTTGTTGTTTTTCTTTTTCATTTTCTTCCAAAATTTTTTCATCACTTCCTCCCATCGCCATCTTTATTACGAACGTGTCTTTAGATAAAAACTCGTTTGTCTATACACACACGAAAAACCAAAAATAAACCGAGAAAAACGGAGAGGGGGGTGGTGGAGAAATAAAAACAAAAAAAAAATTTCGGGTTTTTATTATCGTTTACAATAATAATAATAATCGTAGATTGATCGATACGAAATCAATTAATCGATCGATTGATTGATTGATCCTTTCGTTCTCGAGTTATCGATAAAAAAAAAATTCGAAAAAAAATGATGGGAGAGATTAAAAACTCAATCGACGTTTGCAAAAAAAAAAAAAAAAAACAAATCGTTCGTTTACCTAATTCGATCGAAATAAATTTGATTATTATTATTATTTAAAATTCGTAAATAAAGTTTTTTTTTTTTTTTTAAAAAAATGGCGACGAAGAAAAATTTTTTTATCGGTATTCAAAATATATTATTATAATATTTATGTGAAATTTTGGATTGTTTTTTTAAAAAAAAAAAAAGAAATACGAGAATAACTTCTTATTAATTATAATGTCCATTCAGCAACACTTTTTTTTTAATTACCATATCGGGTAAAATTGCTTATTATTTATTCCCATATACGGCACTGACTGTTTTTTTAAAAATAAATAACATTTAAACAATTATTATTATTATTATTATTATTATTATTATTTGCGTTTAGATATATTCGAATAAAATAAGTCGACGACATTAACAAATATTGAAAAAAAAATTTTCCCTTTTTTTATTTTTTTTATTATTATAATTATTATTATTATTATTACGTGTTTCTTCCTGACACGATCGTTTTTTTTTTTCTTTTTCCACGTCATTTTCAAATTTTTTTATCGTTTTGCAAATGCGTTTCCGTTTTATCGTTTGAAAAATTTTTTTCTTTCTACTTTTCCCATAATAATGACCGGAAACGATCGTTTTTTACGCGAAAAAAAATGATGACGTAGCTCCTGATGGTGGTGAGGGTGAGGGGTGGGGGTTAGGGGGTGGTGCGTGAGTGCGTTACGACGCATTCCTCTCATACAACGACACACATATTTTATTATGATTCTACCAATTGATAAAATGAACTGGAAAATGCATTTGTGATAAAACGCATTAGAGAGTAAAAAAAAAAAAAAAAAAAAAACAATTTTGTGAAATATTTAAAGAGAGAGAGAGAGAGAATGAAATGACATGTCGTCATCATCATCGCCATCGCCATCATCGTCATCAACATGGCGAAAAACAAATTTACCGTGTTACGATTTTGAAAATATTTCATGTATGAAATATATTTCTGGAATTATTAGGAAAACGTTATTTCCAAAATTTAAATCGGACAATTAATAACGAGAGAGAGAGAGAGAGAGAGAGAGAGAATGGGATATGAAGAGGAAATATTATTTATTACTCAACATAATCTTTCTCTTTCTCTCTTTCTCTCTCTACAACGCATATCTCTCTAAAATTCTTGAGTAAATAACCAACCATCTCCGACCGTCACCCTCCTCACCCCCTCCCCACATACACACAGCGAATAGTTAGAAAATTTTGATGTACATTCTCTCAAAAGAGAGGAAAACCGTCGCAAATTTCAAATTTCAACAACCGCCGCAAATGATAGATTACAAAATATAAAGAGAGAAAGAGAGAGAGAGAGAGAGAGAAATAGGGAAATTTTCAATTAATAGCTTAAAATTCAGAAGGAGAAATAAAGGAAGAAAATAAAAGAAGAAGATGTGAGAGAGAAAGAGAGAGAGAGAGAGAGAAAGTTAATGACGAACATAACGGGAAAACACATTTTGAATTTAGTCAATTGGAAAAGTTAAAATCCGTGTGTGGGTGGAAGAAGAAAACGGTATATTGAAAAGAGAAGGAATTATATTTATTATTTAAAAGATAGAAAGAGAGAGAGAGAGAGTGTGTGTGTTTTAAGAAGTGGTGGCGGTGGTGATGATGGTGGAAATGAGGAGAGACGTGAATGATGGCATGTTTGCGGTGCTTAATGAAAATGACAGCTAATAAAGTTTAGGTTGCAATTCTCCTCATTTTACCCAAGATTAATGGTCCCCCTCCCCCCTCTATCTCTCTTCCCTTCTCTTCTTCTCTCTTTCTCTCTCTCTTTCGTAATTTTCATTTAAGCAAAAATTTTTTTTTTTTTTTTTTTTTATTTTAATGAATAATTTTTAATATCGTTTTTATGTATAAAACAAATATGGATGATGACGACGACAAAATGATAATGATGATGATGATAATAAAAGGATTTTATCAAATCAAAAAAGGAAAAAAAGGAGGAAAAAAAAGGAAAACATTTTATTAACAACAAACAAAAAAAAGGAAAAAAGGAAAAAAAGGAAAACAAATCGGGAAAAAGTCTAATTACTCTCTCTTTCTCTCTCTCTCTCTTTTAGCTTTTTATTTACATCTTTCATTACTTCCCCTCTCTCTCCCCCCGTTTCCCTCATTCCAATTCGCTAATAACTTAAATCTCTTTTTACTCCCCCCTTCCCCCTCCTCCACCCTCACTTTCCCCTTTTCGATTGTTCGAAATTTTTTTTCCTTTGCCCCCTCTTCTCTCCACATTTCGTTTTCCTCCTCCTCGAGCGTTTCCTTTTTCTTTTCTCTCCTTCCCTTCCCCACCACTTTTTCCTTCCCCTCCAATCAAAAAAAGAGAAAGAGAAAGAGGGAGCGAGAGTGAGAGAGAGAGAAAGAGGAAAATATTCCATTTTCAAAGCCATTAGAATAAAATAACAATAATTTAATTTTCTGAAAGAATTTTTTTTTTCTTTTTTTTCCCCGTTTTTTTTTTTTTAGAATCAGGAATTGAATGAAACTTTTTTTAAATGAAATGAAATTCATTCCAAAAACCTTTTTTTTCTCCAGTTTTTTTTTCTCTCCAGAGTTTCTATTTAAAGCTTTTCAATATTTAAAAAAAAAAAAAAAATCGAGAAAAGAAAACTCTTTTTCTTTCCACCATCACAAACATTTATCATTTTCTTCTTATTATTATTATTATAACAATTTTTTTTTCCGATTCAATTCGATTCCAGTTTTCTTATTATTATCATTATTATTATTATTATTATTATTTAAACTTTTCTCCAGTCATGTGTGATTTTATTTAAAAAAAAAAAAATTAAATTTTTATCAACGCCTTTAATTATAATAATAATAATAATGAAATCGTTCGTCCGTTAATAATTCGCGGTTGATTTAATAATTTTTATTACATTGATCGATTGATTGATTGATTGATTGAATGATTGAATGAATGAATAAATGATTGAATGAGAATTAAATAAATAAATTAAAGGGAAAAAAAAAATTCGAATTTGTTGTTTGAAAAATGTCGGAAAATTTTAGTCGATTAATAAATAATCCTTGCACTCGATTTTTGCACTCTTAATAATTTCTTCTGCTTTTTTTATTTTTTTTTTATTTTCCGTGTCGCGATTATTTATATAAGAAAAAAAAAAGAAAGTGACGTCATTAATTAAAAACGTGGATTTGGAAAGAAAAAAAATCGAGGAAATTGCATTGAATTAATAAAATATTTTTTATAATTTATTATAAAATGGCGGAAATAAATCCTGTTTTTATGTTGTTGTTGTTTGCGTTTTTGGCATTCGTAAAAATTTTAATTAAGTTTTTTTTTTTTTTTTACAC